ACCGCAGCCTCAACCTGCTGGGCTCCGGCGATCCTTCCGCCTCAACCTTCCAAGTAGCCGAAACTACAGGCGTGTGCTGCCATGCCCGGCTAATTTTTTGATTTATTGTAGAGATGAGGTCTCGCTGCCCAGGCGGGTCTCGAACCCGCGGGATCAGGCAATCCACTCACCTCAGCCTCCCAAAGGCACGGGATTACAGGCTGAGCCACCGAGCCCGGCCAGGTGTCTTTTTCATAGAGTGATCTGAGTTTCTCCAGGTGTATTCCCAGTAGGGGAATTGCAGGGTTGTGTGGAAGGTCAATTTTTAGACCTTTTAGGAATTGCCAAACTGTTTTCCACAGAGGTTGTACTAGTTTACCCTCCCACCAACAGTGTAGAAGTGTTCCCTTTCCCCTGCATCCTCTCCTACTTCTGTTGTTTTTTGTTATTGATGGTGACCTTCCCGATTGGAGTTAGGTGGTATCTCAGTGTGGTTTTAATTTGCATCTCTTTGATGACTAGAGAGTCTGAGCATTATTGGGGGAAGGGGTGAAGGTAGTAACAACTGGGAAGGGAGGGAGGGAGGAACAAAGGGGACACATTTTTAATGTAAGGGAACGCTGTGAATGAAAATATGTGGCATTTAGACACCCAAGGACTATCAGTTCACACAGCGTTCTCCTTTTCTGATCCATTAGAGAAGCCAGTTAAGGACCCTCCTTGTTCTCCCCATGTGGCTTCATGCTCACCTTCCTTAACATTCGTTTTTCTGCGATGACATTATGCTTTCTATGCATAGCTACCGTAAGGGTTATGGTTCCTATCACATCATATTACAACTGCCTTCATATGTGTCTGTTTCCTGGTGGGTTGTACATTCTTTGAGGTCAGGGATCAAACATTGTTTATCTCTGAATCCTCAGAATCTGCTCAGGAGATACTTTGTGAATGTGAACAAATGAATGGCCATTTGGATGCTCTAATCTCAGGTGTCTGGGATCAGCTTGGCAGTGTTGATGTGGATTTGGATGGAGATGGGTGTCCCACTCAGGGAGGTCTCTCTTGTATCTAACACTTTCTTGATGGTCCTTCCACAGTGATGAGGAAAAGGCAACCAGCTGGGTGCACCCTGGAACGAAGTCACCCATTCAGAGTGGACATACCTCCGGCCCAGGTAAGGAGCCTGTCTGTTCCTGCCTTTGCAACTGGGAAGGAAGCAACAGCTTAAAGTGGCAGTAGGAACCCTTTGCCCCAGCTTTGCTTCTGACTTTTTCCTTTCTCCATGGATAGACCCAACTTAGCATCTGGACTGCATCAGGGGATATTGCCGGAGGATTGGTGCTTACCTCAAGGTCTCTCCAACCTCCTGCTTCTGCGATTAGTATCTGGGACAGACCCTTGAGGACAGAGATTTTTTTCCCTCTTTCATCCCTCTGCCCAGTCAGAAAATCCCTGTTTTGAGGGCCACTGGGCTGGGCAGAAGCCAGCCCCAGTGCGGGCCTGGAACTTTGTGTCATGAAGTGACGGAAATGTTCTCTGTCTGCCCTGCCCAATAGAATTTCCAGGAGTCACTTGTGACACTGAGCAATTGAAATGTTATTAGCACCACTGAGGATTGTAAATTTTAATTAATTTAAATGTAAATAACCCTATGTGGCTAGAAGGAACTCCTCCCCACTGGGAGAAGCATGAAAGAAAGGGGACAAGGGTGACATTGGTCGCTTACTATGGAGAAGACACCACTGCCAGTCCTCAGGAACCTCCTAGGCTAGTGGGAAAGGTGGGACACATACAGGTCAACAATAAACAAGGAAAAAACTGAAAAAAACATTTCAGTCTAAGTGGAAGAGATGGAGACACAAAGAATCCAAAGGTCTGGGGTACTCACGTGAACAGCAATTCATCTTCCTCTTGATGCCAGGTCACCACAGACCATTAAGAAGAGGTGTGAGGCCGGGCTCAGTGGCTCAGCCTGTAATCCCACGCCTTTGGGAGGCTGAGTGAGTGGACTGCCTGAGCCCATGGGTTCGAGACCCACCTGGGCAACTTGGCGAGACCTCATCTCTACAATAAATTAAAAAATCAGCCGGGCGTGGTAGTGCATGCCTGTAATTCTGGCTACTTGGAAGGCTGAGGTGGAAGGATTGCCGGAGCCCAGCAGGTCGAGGCTGCGGTGGCCGGGAGCAGCCACTGCACTCCAGTCTGGGCGACAGAGTGAGACTCCAACTCGAAAAAAAAAAAAGAGGTGTGAGTGACAGTGTGGGAAGATCTCCCACCTCCCACACCTTCCAGCCCTTCACCTGAATGGACACTAGGCACCTGGCTCCAGGAGCCTTGGTCACTCAGGGGGCCCTGCCAGCACCTCTGGACATACAGGATTAAGGCTTTCACTTGCCCAGTGCATTTTGATTTCTAGATTCTGGGCTGGAATCATTGTGTTTTTAAGGTGGGAAGAGACTTAAGGGATCATGGAGTTCAACGCCTTCATTTTATGGCACAAAAATTGAAGAGTGGAGAGGAAGTGCCTGGCTCAAGGCCATTTGGCTAATAAGCAGAGTGACATCGTGGTTAAATGCATACATTCTGGAGGCCGAGAGATCTGAGGTCAATCTTGGCTCTACTTTCCATTAGAGTGGTCTTGAGCAAGTGGTCTAATGCTTCCAGGACTTGGCGTCTTCATCTGTATAATGGGGAGAGGACTATGACCCTCAAAAGCATACCAAGCATTGCACAAGAGAACTGATTCCGACAACGAAGGCAACGGCTGTTGCTACTGCCACTGTTGTGTTTCCAATGCGAGGCAAAGCCTCCTGACTCCAAGGCCAGGACTGTTTTCTTCTACCAGTTAGGTAGTGGGTGTTACCTTCAGTGTCAGCTGTTTACGGCTTGAGTCCATCCATCTCTTTACCACCCTAGGTAGGACTGGAAGATGAATAAAAACCCGAGAGCCAATTCTTTCACTTTTAGCTGCCGCCAACGGGTTGTCCAAGGCTGGGAAGGGGTTAAGATGCCCCCAAAGCTTGCCGGGAAGGCAGCTGCCTCAGCGGGCACTCCGCCTGGATGGGAATATAAGCGCTCTTGGTGTTGCCCAGGCAGAGAGGGCAGTGTGGAGGGAAGTTGCTAGAAAAAGACAGGGGACATAATCCACACTGGCCTCTTTCCCAGGCACATCACACTGGCAGGATTATTTATGATTCTGACCCAATGGGGATCCCTCTACTTGGGGAGGCTGCCAACCCACGCCCTTCTGAATGGCAGCGTCTGCCCACAGAGATGGAGGGGAACAAGTAGCATTTATGGAACTGCACAGAGGAAAGAGTGTGGGCTTCGGTGGCAGCAGACCGGCACTCACATCCCGGCCCAGACACTTCCTGTGTGACTTTAAGCAAGTTGATTAACCTGTCTGGCCCTCTGTTTCCTCATCTGTAAAAATGTTTGGGCTGGTGCCTACCAGGTAATGTTGCATGCAGATGAAATGCGCTCACAGAGGTAAAGTACTCGGTGGCCCAGAGGAAGAAAACGCTCACTAAGTGGTAGCTGCTGTTATGAGCTCTCTGGGCCAAGTCCTGGCAGGGAAACTGGGCCCGCTAGCTACCCTGTTTTGCTGAAGCAGCAACATCACCATCAGCAGCTTTGGAAATATAGACCCTTGATAAATACAGGCGAATAAAACGAGTGATTAAAAACCGGACTCTACTTGGAAGGCTGAGGCTGGAAGGATCGCCGGAGCACAGCAGGTCGAGGCTGCGGTGGCCGGGAGCGGCCACTGCACTCCAGTCTGAGCAAGAGTGAGACGGCAACTCAAAAACAAACAAACAAACAAAAAAACCGGACTCACCACTCTAGGGAACCCAGGCTGTGCTCTCCAGCGGCTGGTGCCTTAAGGCAGCAGAAAATATGGTGGGAGGCATTCAGCCCCAAGCCAATAGCTCTGTTTTCTAAAACATCATGCATAAGGCAGGTGGCTGGACATAAGGCAGGTGGCTGGACTGACTGGAAAGGTGGCAGTGACTGTCTATTGAGAGAATTTCCACCTGTTTTCCAATATGTCAGCCAGGAGCCTCTTGCAGCCCCAACAGGAAGACTCTCCATCAGCTTCCTGTCTGTCCACACCTCCGACAGCGGATTCTCTTGGTCTCTCAAAAGGCTCTTCTGCCGGGCATGGCAGCTCACGCCTGTAATCCCAGCACTTTGGGAGGCCGAGGTGAGAGGATTGTCTGAGCCCAGGAGTTTGAGACCAGCTTGGGCAACTTGGCGAGATCTTGTTTCTACAATCAAAAAGTTAACCAAGCGTGGTAGCATGCCCCTGTATTCCCAGCCACTTGGAAGATTGAGGTGGAAAGGATCACCTGAACCCAGCAGATTGGGACTGCAGTGTGCTTGAGTGTGCCACTGCACTCCAGCCTGAGTGACAGAGTGAGACTTCTACTCAAAAAAATAAATAAAAAAGTAAAAGCTTTTCCTCTTCTGCCATGGGGTGAAGGAATCCTGTTTGCCAGGAGGTGGGATACTGCCAGAGTGGCTGTTTTGGAAAGCGTCAGAATGGGACCGTACCTACCAGGTGTTCCTTGGAGATAGAGGCTCTGCACCCACCTGGGGGGCTGCCTAGGCTTGACCTTGGTCAGGGTTTCTTGACCTTATTAGACTGAGGTCAGCTTCCTCAGCTATTTAGCACTTGTGCACTCTGGGAGTCTGTGAGTCTCCTCTGAGCGTTTCCATGGATAATTTTTTTTTTTAGAGATGCTATTAAAAATCTTAAAACACATACGTCTCTCCGTTTTCTTGGGGTCGATTTCCCAGGACCTTGGAGCCTTGAACAGAAGCAACAGAGACTGGTAGTAATAATACTGGCCTGGAATTTGGAGACTTGAGTCCTAATTGGATGTTGGATGCTAATTATCTGTGAGTTCCTGGGAGCAAGTGAGCTACCCTGGGCTGCAACTTCTGCTTCTAAGGGAGCTGGCCAGATGATCCTGAGGACACTTCCTGGGGAACCATCTGTGTGTTCACTGTGGGGGATTTGCACAATGACTGGCGCACAGGAGATGCTCAGTAAAGGTCTGCTGAATGGCTGAGTGTCTATCACCAGGCATGAATCACTATTCGTGGACAGAGGACATCCCATCCACTCCCATGTCTCTCATTATTGGCAGGAATTTAGTTGTTGGAAATAATGGACACAAAGGGTGGAATGATTGACTGGAACCCTGCTTTTCCTGGCCCCCTCCCTCCCTAGTGCACATCAGGTTTGTGGGGCTGAACTGGAAGAGAGATTGGTTTCAGGGTATCTCACGTTGTGACCTTGCTTCCTTGCAGGTTTGCCCAAGGGCTGGGAGATGGATTCCACCAAGGAAGGAGCTGTGTATTTCATCAAGTGAGTAAGATGGAGTTTCCTTTCTGATGTCGCTGTGGGTCCTGCTTTTTGTCCTTGTCGGGAGGGGAGATGGTTAAAGTGTCTGGTTTTTCACTGAAGGCACTGCCGAGTCTGTGCTAAAGCTTTCACTGAAGGCACTGCCAAGAGGTGCTAAGGCTTCTGAGGGCTGAGATAAAGATGGGAGTGAGCACATCTGTGTCTGTTTGTGTTGGCCTGGGCAACAATCAGTGTCAGTCCTGGGAAGTTTCCTAGTGGGTGGGGTGGTGGGAAGCGCAAGGGGATAGAGTGTTGGGTTGGGCTGTGCGGGTGGGAAGGAGATGGCTCAACACAGTAGAGGAGAGAGCCTGTTCTAGACACACCGGACAGAGATTCAGGTCCAGGCTGAAGGACACAGAGCTGCAGGACCCCATGAGGGGCAGGACGCAGAGCCAGCGGGAAGGGAAGGTGTAAGAGGGTGCACCGTGGAGGACATCAGGCTGCTGGTAGCAAGGCCAGCTCCGGGCACTCTTGCTCTCATGGACAGGGATGTGCCATTCTGGGGGTGGCGTGTGTGTGTGGGGGGGTGCTCTGTTCCCTTGGAGGGGTTGGTTAGGCCCCTCTGTGGCCCGGGGAGCCTCTACATCCTGGCGCAGCTGAAGGTGCGCCTTAAGGAGTTACCCTTGGAAGGGGAAGGTGCAGCTCTTTGGGCTGGGGTGGTCCATAGCTGCTCATTGGACTTGCTTCCCTCTGCCTTGGTCTAGGTCTTCCATCTCCCAGCCAAGCTGGGTCCTGGCATCACTCCCATGGGTGAGGCTCGGCATGCTCAGGCCTGTGGGCCTCCCCGGCTGGTCTGGCTTCAGATTCTGGGATGGTGGAGCACATCTGCCCAGCCTACTGGGGCACTGGTACTGCCAGAGGGAGCCCGGCCCAGCCAGGCAAGGGGGACCCGTGTCTCATCCCCTCTCCCTCCTTCTCTGCTTCGAAACCCTCGCCCCTCTATACTTGGAGAGGTCACCTTTCCACCCCCCACCTCAAGATCTGCCAGCATGTACATCAGCTTGCCTGTTAGCCATATTCTTAAAGCAAAACCCCCCAAATATTATTTTCCTTTTAAACAAATAATCTGTTTTGGAAATTGTTCTGATATCACATGGCTCTTACAACCTGGGCTTTTTCTAAACTTGGATCCAAATTACACTGTGAGATGAACAATAGAAGCAAAATTCATTCCTGCTTCATCTGCCAGCCTGCAGCTTTCATTTGAGCTCCCTCAATTCAGTGTGTCCAGATTTGAGCTCATTGCCTTCTCTGCGCCCACTCCATCTTTGTTAGAAACACCACCAAGGCAGAACCCTCAGAGATGTCCTCAACCTTCCCTCCTCACACCCCCCCGTGAGTCACGTCAGTTCCCTCCTCAATATCTGTCAGTCCACCCACTTCTCATCATCCCCATAGCCACATTCTGAGTTCATGTTCACACGGACTCTCTCCTGAGTTATTCTAGAAGTTTCCCAGGTTATCACGCTGCAAAAGTGCTTCTTCCTAGAATCCATATTTGGCATATCATTCTCCATTAAAAACCTTCCATGTTTCCCATCAACTACAGGGTAAAATCTAAATTTCTTATCCAGACACTAAAAGGGCGTCACGATCTAGCCCCTTTTGTCCTTCCGCATCTCCCCTCCCACATGCCACAGTTTGCTCCTAGCCCTCCTCACATTCCCCTCCCTTCCATGAACCCAAGTCTCTGTAGGTGCGAATCCCTCCTCTAGCAAGACTCGTACCCACCTGTGAACATTCGTTCTTCCTCCAAGACTCTGCCCACAACTGCTTCAGGGAAGCCCACCCGTATTGCAATTATTTATTTGTGCCATTTCTCTCTAGATCAGTAATTCTCCAAATTAAGCATGCATCAAAACCATGGGAGGGTTTGCTAAAGCACAGAGGGCCAGGTCCTACCCCTGGGGCTTCTGATTCAGAGGGTCTAGAATTTGCATTGCTAACAGATTCCCAGGTGATGCTGATGATGGTGGTCTGGGGACCACACTTAGAGAACCACTCGCCTAGACAACTCATCATGGGCTGGGGCAACACAGGGGACCATAAAGTCTGGCAGCACAGACAATATCACTTCATTCTATACTGTGATGAAATGTCCATAAGCCACAGATGATGTGTTCCCACGTTGGCAGACTTGGTGGCCGTTCTGTCCGTCAGAGCAGCTGTAGTCCCTCTAAGAGCCAAGTGCTTTAACTACATCCTCTCATTTACTCCTCGCAGAACCTTTGTGAGGAGATGTCACCATCTCTAACTGTCTTAGCACATAGTGAGAAACTGAGACCTGGCAAAGAACTTTTTCGATGTCATGAAGCAAATTGGGGAGGCTGCCTGTGTCTGCCCGGTTTCACAGGCTGTGCTCTTAGCATAACGGCATGGTGGCCTCCCAGCACCCTCGGGGTCTGGCTTGGACAAAGGAGGTGCTCACTCAGTTCTTGCTGAATGAGTGAGTGAATGAATGAATGACTCTTACCCACCCTCCTGATTTTCACGGTTCCCTGCCACAGTCAATTCCCACAATGGTTTATAAGATTTGACTAGTGGGCGGGTTATTTAATAGAAACTTTAAGCATTCCAGACCTGGATCCCAAAAGGTAATACCAAAAGCCAGATTTACAGACAACTTGGGGAGCTATTTTTCTTCTCCAAGTGCGGAGGAGTCCCATTTCAATGAGCAAACATTGATCTTTGCCCAGGACCAGACAGGTATGTTAATTGTGTGTCAATAAGCCCTTTCCTTCATGGTGTTTGGGAAGTGGTTCTCATGGTATCCACAGCGGTTGCATTGCTCAAGTGTGCCTGCAGTTTTGAAGATGTCATTTACTGGGAAGGGTAGCGTGGGGAGAAGAGAAAAAGCAAGAGTTAAAACGTGGGTGGACCCCATTGAAGCCATAGGCACTCACCACATCAATCCACAAGAGGGCGCCAGAGCACACATGATGGGCACCCGCATGGCCTAATAGGGGTTTGCTCACAGATTCTCTCCTTGGGTGGAGATGACAGGGCCATCTTGACCATTCCTGGCACATCTCTACCCCTCTGGGTCTGGCAGACCTCTTCCTAGAGCTTAAAGATCTAGCTATTAACACGTAACACCCATTCCTGACCAGCAGGAACTCTGTTTCCCTGGCCCTTGTCTCCTTGCCCTTTTCCTGTTGCAGCAGCAGCTGTGGAACTTGCCAGTTCTGTCCCCAAGAGCACCTTTCTTTTTCCAAAGTCGGCAGGGAGGCGGAGGTGTCCAGAGCTTTCTGCAGAGCCACACCCTGATAACCCGTTCCCAAGCCGGGCCCTGTGACTCCTCCCCACAGGGAGCCCCACCCAGCTGTCACTTCTTCCTTACCCTGGTGTGGGTGCTTCCTCCAGGAAGGTGCCAGCATGTGCCAGCAAGCAGTCCACCTGCTCGCCCACACGCCTGTGAGCTGCTCAGGGCAGGATGTGTGGCTAGGGGCTGCCGGGACCAGAGATGCAGTGAGAGCCAGGCGACTCTCTGGGGCTGTGCTGGGTCTCAGAGAGTCATCGATACAGACTCCAGCCCAACCTGTGAGACCCCAGAGGAGGGGGTGCCCCGGGAAGGGTGGTGGAGCCACCAAGTGCTATTCTGTTGCCTCCAGAGGGCAGACAGGACAGAGGATAGGAGTCACAGGGCAGCAATTCTGGTATAGTGACCCAATGAGCTCTGCCCTCAGAAAGAAGAGAAATGAGCTTCAGAGAAATCCCATTTGCAGAGGAAAACTGAGGCTCAGTAGTCAAGCTACTTGTTCAAAATTGCTGAATTAGTCAGGGATGGAACTGAGGTTCGGAGTCTCTTAGGTCATCAAAGGTCTACTCAGAAGGTCAAGGCAGGAAGATCATTTGAGCCCAGGAGTTTGAGGCTGCAGTGAGCTACAATCCCACTGCGGCATTCCAGGCTGGGTGACAAAGCAAGATCCTGTCTCAAAAAAAAAAAAAAAAAAGTTTATCATTCAGGGCTCCCTTTCCTGTCCCCCCAGTTGGTACATTCTGGGGAAGAGAGAGGGAGACCCCTGTGGGTACAGTCCCGTTGAACAGGCGGTGACGGGGGCAACCCTCTTTCGGGTCCCCTCCCATGTTGGGAGCTTTTCTGTCTTCTTTATAAACTCCTGCTTTCTCATACCTGCACAAAAAGAATAGGCAGTTACAGGCAGTGATGGAGACCATCCATTTAGTGGCAATGAGGACTGTGGTCGGGAGCGGTGATGACACTTAAGGGGAGGATCCAGTTTGGAGACTGAATTCGGGACTGGGGAGTGTGGATTTCATCCTCTGTGCAACAAGGGACGTAGAGCTCACGCAGTGGAGAGACAGGATCACAGAGGTGCTTCTGTGGAATCCTTTCTTCCTCACGCCTCCTCCCAGCCAAGCTGTTTAGATGAATCTTGTTTCTCCTTTGCTGGGCTGACAGAAGAATTGAGATTTGGCAAAGTGAGTTCATTTTCTTTGCTTCACCTCACCCATCCTTGTTGGAACGCAAAGATCCTCAGGCTACCACGTATCTTCCACCATGCCCCCCATGCATGAAGGCATCGCACCCCATGCCAATCCTTCCTTTGACCTCTCCTGTCCCCAAAGCCACCCAGATCCCCCGGAAGCATCCACATGTCTGGCTCAGGCTTCTCGAAGGATCCGTGGGACTCGTCTGCATCTCTTGCCCTCTGTCTGCCAGAGAGGAAACCCGCCCAGCAGGCCCGTCTGTTGGTCTCCTGCCTTTTCCAGCTGCCCGAGGATTGTGGGCTGGGGGCTGAGGTCCTTGTCCCCTTCCCCGCCCTCCCTCTCGGATGCTGTACTCTCTTGCCTAAACCTTCCTTGACTCCTTTGGCTCCTTGAAGCCAGAGACCGCCCCCCAGAACCCCTCCTCTTTTGCTGCCTGGAACCAAACTCTCCCCTAGCCTCCACCAGCCAGCCTTGCCAAGTCCTGGAGAGCCAGGGCAGGTGAGCTGGGCTTCGTC